GACATCTTATATTGCATATGCAGTTTTCATCATATTAAGTACAATAACAGTGTAGTTAATTAATAATGATACAGTTACAGACTCTGCTGCTATAACTTTGTAAACAAAGATTCATACGCACCGCGTGGGTATAACCGTATTACTAATGTCCGATTATAAAAATCTTCGTAAATCTGGATAAAGACCAGTTTCTATCCAATGGATATCAAAATGATTCCGATTATTACTTTTTTAATGATTGTAAAGTTGAAATGGCATGAAAGGCTGACATTATTTCGGAGAACTATTTTGTCTAGCGATTGCTGATCATTGGAGGGTAAAAAGTCCAACACCATAACAAAACGGATCTATTTATCATGTATACATACCGAGTGTTTACGATTGTAAGACATGTGCATAAAAGTGAAAGCTCGAATAAATATGAAAAATATAACAAAGGGATAGCTCCAAATACCATTTAATAACAAAAAACATATGGACAGGTCAAGATATCTTTTTGGTAAATAAAATAACGTATGTAAGCTGGATCCCGTCCGACTACAACACTTTGTTTGAGTGTAGCGTAAAACAAGCAGTTTCCAGTTAGTATGTAAAATAGTAAATATGAAACCGAGTGCGGTAGGCGGAGGTATAATCAACTTCCGTTAGTTCTGGTCAATGGTATCGGAAACATGCCGCTGATAGCGTCATTTTCCAAAAACGATTTATGATTATTGCTTAAAATTTTACACACTTCTTAGTTATATTAATCTAAAGATCTGTATACTTTTTGGTTTTGATTCAAAATTTTATTTTTGAGATATTGATTTTTTTTTTTTAAAAGGGGGGTTTTCACATGTCGCGCCGTATCTCAAAAACGATATATGATTATTGCTTAAAATTTTACACACTTCTTAGTTATATTAATCTAAAGATCTGTATACTTTTTGGTTTAGATTCAAAATTTTATTTCAGAGATATTGAGTTTTTTGGAAAAAAAAAAGGGGGTTTTCGCATGTCACGCCGTATGTCAGAAACTATTTATGCTTATTGCATAAAAATTCACACACAAGACGACAGGCGTATCATGCGCTCATGGCGCAGCTGTTTATTTACCTTAGGATATAACACTGATAGAGAGGTTTTAACTTTAGCATCAGTTTTATTTACCTTAGGATATAATATGGAAAGAGAGATTTTAACTTTAGCATCCGTTTTATTTACCTTAGGATATAATACTGAAAAAGAGGTTTTAACTTAAGCATCAGTTTTATTTACCTTAGGATATAATACTGATAGAGAGGTTTTAACTTTAGCATCCGTTTTATTTACCAGAGGATATAATACTGATAGAGAGGTTTTAACTTTAGCATCAGTTTTATTTACCTTAGGATATAATACTTCTAGAGAGGTTTTAACTTAAGCATCAGTTTTATTTACCTTAGGATATAATATGGATAGAGAGGTTTTAACTTTAGCATAGTTTTATTTACCTTAGGATATAACACTGATAGAGAGGTTTTAACTTTAGCATCAGTTTTATTTACCAGAGGATATAATATGGATAAAGAGATTTTAACTTTAGCATCAGTTTTATTTACCTTAGGATATAACACTGATAGAGAGGTTTTAACTTTAGCATCCGTTTTATTTACCTTAGGATACAACACTGATAGAGAGGTTTTAACTTTAGCACCAGTTTTATTTACCTTAGGATATAACACTGATAGAGCGGTTTTAACTTTAGCATCAGTTTTATTTACCTTAGGATATAATACTGATAGAGAGGTTTTAACTTTAGCATCCGTTTTATTTACCTTAGAATATAACACTGAAAGAGAGATTTTGACTTTAGCATCCGTTTTATTTACCTTAGGATATAATACTGATAGAGAGGTTTTAACTTTAGCATCCATTTTATTTACCTTAGAATATAACACTGAAAGAGAGATTTTGACTTTAGCATCAGTTTTATTTACCTTGGGATATAATTCTGAAAAAGAGGTTTTAACTTAAGCATCAGTTTTATTTACCTTAGAATATAACACTGATAGAGAGGTTTTGACTTTAGCATCCGTTTTATTTACCTTAGAATATAACACTGAAAGAGAGATTTTGACTTTAGCATCCGTTTTATTTACCTTGGGATATAATTCTGAAAAAGAGGTTTTAACTTAAGCATCAGTTTTATTTACCTTAGAATATAACACTGATAGAGAGGTTTTGACTTTAGCATCCGTTTTATTTACCTTAGGTATAACACTGATGGAGAGGTTTTAACTTTAGCATCAGTTTTATTTACCAGAGGATATAATACTGATAGAGAGGTTTTAACTTTAGCACCAGTTTTATTTTCAGTAGGATATAACACTAAAGTTAAAACCTCTCTATCAGTAGTATATCCTGATAGAGAGATTTTAACCTTAGCACCAGTTTTATTTACCTTAGGATATAATACTTATAGAGAGGTTTTATTTACCTTAGGATATAACACTGATAGAGAGGTTTTAACTTTAGCATCAGTTTTATTTACCTTAGGATATAACACTGATAGAGAGGTTTCAACTTTAGCATCAGTTTTATTTACCTTAGGATATAACACTGATAGAGCAGTTTTAACTTTAGCATCAGTTTTATTTACCTTAGGATATAATACTGATAGAGAGTTTTAACTTTAGCATCAGTTTTATTTACCTTAGGATATAATACTACTAGAGAGGTTTTAACTTTAGCATCAGTTTTATTTACCTTAGGATATAATACTGATAGAGAGGTTTTAACTTTAGCATCAGTTTTATTTACCTTAGGATATAATACTGAAAAAGAGGTTTTAACTTAAGCATCAGTTTTATTCACCTTAGGATATAATATGGATAGAGAGGTTTTAACTTTAGCATAGTTTTATTATACGCCCGTCAATTTTTGACGGGACGTATTATGGTATACAAATGTCCGGTGTCGTCCGTCTGTCTGTCTGGCATAAACATGTCGCACTGTAACTTGAGAATGACTTATCCAAATTTCATGAAACTTAACATAGTTGTTTCTTATGATGGTCAAACGATCTGTATACTTTTTGGTGAAAATAAGATTAAAACTTTTTGAGTTACGGAACTTAGTAACTAAAACAGGTGTGTGTTTTTTTTCACATGTCGCGCTGTATCTCAAAAACAATTTATGATTATTGCTTAAAACTTTACACACTTCTTAGTTATATTAATCTTAAGATCTGTATACTTTTTGGTGATGATTCTAAATTTTATTTTAGAGATATCGAGTATTTTGTTAAAAAAGGGGGAGGGGTTTTTCACATGTCGCGCCGTATCTCAAAAACAGTTTATGATTATTGCTTAAAACTTTACACACTTCTTAGTTATATTAACCTTAAGATTTGTATACTTTTTGGTGATGATTCAAAATTTTATTTTTGAGTTATTAAGTATTTTGTTAAAAAGGGGGAGGGGTTTTTCACATGTCGCGCCATATCTCAAAAAACGATTTATGATTATTGCTTAAAATTTTACACACTTCTTAGTTATATTAATCTAAAGATCTGTATACTTTTTGGTTTTGATTCAAAATTTTATTTTTGAGATATTGATTTTTTTTTTAAAAGGGGGGTTTTCACATGTCGCGCCGTATCTCAAAAACGATTTATGATTATTGCTTAAAATTTTACACACTTCTTAGTTATATTAATCTAAAGATCTGTATACTTTTTGGTTTTGATTCAAAATTTTATTTTAGAGATATTGAGTTTTTTGGAGAAAAAAAAAGGGGGTTTTCGCATGTCACGCCGTATGTCAGAAACTATTTATGCTTATTGCATAAAAATTCACACACAAGACGACAGGCGTATCATGCGCTCATGGCGCAGCTGTTTATTTACCTTAGTATATAACACTGATAGAGAGGTTTTAACTTTAGCATCAGTTTTATTTACCTTAGGATATAATACTGATAGAGAGGTTTTAACTTTAGCATCCGTTTTATTTACCAGAGGATATAATACTGATAGAGAGGTTTTAACTTTAGCATCAGTTTTATTTACCAGAGGATATAATACTGATAGAGGTTTTAACTTTAGCATCAGTTTTATTTACCTTAGGATATAATACTGATAGAGAGATTTTAACTTTAGCATCAGTTTTATTTACCTTAGGATATAACACTGATAGAGAGGTTTTAATTTTAGCATCAGTTTTATTTACCTTAGGATATAACACTGATAGAGAGGTTTCAACTTTAGCATCAGTTTTATTTACCTTAGGACATAATACTGATAGAGAGGTTTCAACTTTAGCATCAGTTTTATTTACCTTAGGATATAACACTGATAGAGAGGTTTCAACTTTAGCATCAGTTTTATTTACCTTAGGATATAACACTGATAGAGCGGTTTTAACTTTAGCATCAGTTTTATTTACCTTAGGATATAATACAGATAGAGAGGTTTTAACTTTAGCATCCGTTTTATTTACCTTAGGATATAATACTGATAGAGAGGTTTTAACTTTAGCATCAGTTTTATTTACCTTAGGACATAATACTGATAGAGAGGTTTCAACTTTAGCATCAGTTTTATTTACCTTAGGATATAATACTGAAAAAGAGGTTTTAACTTAAGCATCAGTTTTATTTACCTTAGAATATAATACTGACAGAGAGGTTTTAACTTTAGCATCAGTTTTATTTACCTTAGGATATAATAGTACTAGAGAGGTTTTAACTTTAGCATCAGTTTTATTTACCAGAGGATATAATACTGATAGAGAGGTTTTAACTTTAGCACCAGTTTTATTTTCAGTAGGATATAATACTACTAGAGAGGTTTTAACTTTAGCATCAGTTTTATTTACCTTAGGATATAACACTGATAGAGAGGTTTTAACTTTAGCATCAGTTTTATTTACCTTTGGATATAATACTACTAGAGAGGTTTTAACTTTAGCATCAGTTTTATTTACCTTAGGATATAACACTGATAGAGCGGTTTTAATTTTAGCATCCGTTTTATTTACCTTAGGATATAACACTGATAGAGAGGTTTTAACTTTAGCATCAGCAGCTTGTAAGTACCTGGATGCAACTATTCTACCTATCAATAGAAAATTATTAAATGAAATACAGTATAATATTTACATATACATTCATCACTAATTTTCTTCCCTGGTTAAAATTCACATCATATCCACTTTTATTTCTTCAATTTAACTATGAGATCATTGCTATATATTGGACACAAACATTTTTTGTTATCAATTTTTTAGTGTTATTTTTTATGGTCTCTGCTTTCATTCACAAAATTGTAAAGACCAAGGGTGATTAAGATCTTTACCAATGATATTGATACTGGTCTATCATTTGAGACCTAATTTGATCTCCATATGTCTTCTTGGTTTCATTGCTTGGTTACTATTTCATTGACCTTTACCTTACAAATGTTTTAATCAATAAATAAACTTGTTTAAGTTGCTTTAACAATCATTAATCTCTAAGAAACACAACTTTGTCTCTTTTTTCTGGACCTTACTCTAATATCACTTCTAACAATGAAACTTATATAAACTGAGCAGACATAACTGAGATCTAAGAGATCTTACTAGATTTTTTCTTTGCTGTCTGTGGAGTTTTACTTGGTAATGGTGACTTTTTCTTCACTGGTGCACTGTCAAAAATAGAAAACAAAATTTAGAGAAACAAGAACACACCTCCACTCATAATTCAAAGTATCAGAAAACAGGACGTATGAGTGAAATGTGTGACAGAAATATGTTGGAAGAACAGACATACAAGGTGATTGCAATATAGCCCTCACTCATAAAGTAATTGATTGTTGGTTGCTTAACGTTCAGTGGATCATGGTATAATAACATAATAAAATCACTGCTTTAAAAGACTCATTAGAGCTTTTTATAAGTAATAATTACTCATATTTTAAGGATTTTAACACACTATGCTGAAAGAAGGTTTGTTGAGCTATTCTGCTACTAACAGAAAATTGGTTTAAACATGAAGGTAAGGAGGGAATAGAATTTTTTTTTTTGTAAATGTTTAAATTAAAAAAAAAAAGATGTTAGGGTACATCAAACAATCCCTTAAAATAGAACAAATCATTCAAAGATTCAGAAATTTAGACAATTATTAATATTTGACACAATTGTTACAAATCTCCTTTGAATATGATACATGAACTGTGGTTTCTAGTGTAAAACTCCTGTTCATCAGTATTTCTCATTGTTGAAGACTGTACAATGGCCTATAATTGCTTAATGCCCCTTCATTTTATCTCTGGTAGATAGTTGTCTCATTGGAAATCATATCACATCTTCTTATTTTTATATAAAACCTTTTTTAAAAATAAGGTAAATGTGGTCATAGAGGTTTTTACCTTTTCCTTCTGGTATTGCCCATTGTTTTTACCTTCTCTTTCTGGTATTGCCCTTTGTTTTTACCTTTTCTTTCTGGTATTGCCCTTTGTTTTTACCTTCTCTTTCTGGTATTGCCCATTGTTTTTACCTTCTCTTTCTGGTATTGCCCTTTGTTTTTACCTTTTCTTTCTAGTATTGCCCTTTGTTTTTACCTTTTCTTTCTGGTATTGCCCTTTGGTTTTACCTTTTCTTTCTGGTATTGCCCTTTGTTTTTACTTTGTTTTTACCTCTTCTTTCTGGTATTGCCCTTTGTTTTTACCTTTTCTTTCTGGTATTGCCCTTTGTTTTTACCTTTTCTTTCTAGTATTGCCCTTTGTTTTTACCTTTTCTTTCTAGTATTGTCCTTTGTTTTTACCTTTTCTTTCTGGTATTTCCTTTTGTTTTTACCTTTTCTTTCTGGTATTGCCCTTTGTTTTTACTTTGTTTTTACCTCTTCTTTCTGGTATTGCCCTTTGTTTTTACCTTTTCTTTCTGGTATTGCCCTTTGTTTTTACTTTGTTTTTACCTCTTCTTTCTGGTATTGCCCTTTGTTTTTACCTTTTCTTTCTAGTATTGCCCTTTGTTTTTACCTTCTCTTTCTGGTATTGCCCTTTGTTTTTACCTTCTCTTTCTGGTATTGCCCATTGTTTTTACCTTCTCTTTCTGGTATTGCCCTTTGTTTTTACCTTCTCTTTCTAGTATTGCCCTTTGTTTTTACCTTTTCTTTCTAGTATTGCCCTTTGTTTTTACCTTCTCTTTCTGGTATTGCCCTTTGTTTTTACCTTCTCTTTCTGGTATTGCCCATTGTTTTTACCTTCTCTTTCTGGTATTGCCCTTTGTTTTTACCTTTTCTTTCTGGTATTGCCCTTTGTTTTTACCTTTTCTTTCTGGTATTGCCCTTTGTTTTTACTTTGTTTTTTCCTCTTCTTTCTGGTATTGCCCTTTGTTTTTTACCTTTTCTTTCTGGTATTGCCCTTTGTTTTTACCTTTTCTTTCTAGTATTGCCCTTTGTTTTTACCTTTTCTTTCTAGTATTGCCCTTTGTTTTTACCTTTTCTTTCTGGTATTTCCTTTTGTTTTTACCTTTTCTTTCTAGTATTGCCCTTTGTTTTTACCTTTTCTTTCTGGTATTGCCCTTTGTTTTTACCTTTTCTTTCTGGTATTGCCCTTTGTTTTTACCTTTTCTTTCTGGTATTGCCCTTTGTTTTTACTTTGTTTTTACCTCTTCTTTCTGGTATTGCCCTTTGTTTTTTACCTTTTCTTTCTGGTATTGCCCTTTGTTTTTACCTTTTCTTTCTGGTATTGCCCTTTGTTTTTACCTTTTCTTTCTAGTATTGCCCTTTGTTTTTACCTTTTCTTTCTGGTATTTCCTTTTGTTTTTACCTTTTCTTTCTGGTATTTCCTTTTGTTTTTACCTTTTCTTTCTAGTATTGCCCTTTGTTTTTACCTTTTCTTTCTAGTATTGCCCTTTGTTTTTACCTTTTCTTTCTGGTATTTCCTTTTGTTTTTACCTTTTCTTTCTGGTATTTCCTTTTGTTTTTACCTTTTCTTTCTAGTATTGCCCTTTGTTTTTACCTTTTCTTTCTGGTATTGCCCTTTGTTTTTACTTTGTTTTTACCTCTTCTTTCTGGTATTGCCCTTTGTTTTTTACCTTTTCTTTCTGGTATTGCCCTTTGTTTTTACCTTTTCTTTCTGGTATTGCCCTTTGTTTTTACCTTTTCTTTCTAGTATTGCCCTTTGTTTTTACCTTTTCTTTCTGGTATTTCCTTTTGTTTTTACCTTTTCTTTCTGGTATTTCCTTTTGTTTTTACCTTTTCTTTCTAGTATTGCCCTTTGTTTTTACCTTTTCTTTCTAGTATTGCCCTTTGTTTTTACCTTTTCTTTCTGGTATTTCCTTTTGTTTTTACCTTTTCTTTCTGGTATTTCCTTTTGTTTTTACCTTTTCTTTCTAGTATTGCCCTTTGTTTTTACCTTTTCTTTCTGGTATTGCCCTTTGTTTTTACCTTTTCTTTCTGGTATTGCCCTTTGTTTTCGATGTGACTAAATCTTTAACAGAACATACATCACTTTCACTATGGTTGGATTGATTGTCGTCTGCTGCAGGTTTTTCCGACATGTCAGAATCTTGAGAATCATCAAAGTTAGGTTGAGGTAATCTATTGATTCTCATATCCTTTTCTATCTGTGTTAGGAGATTAAAGTTATCTACGGATCGGCATGGCTCACTTGGACTTACTGTAAACAAAAGAAATTTATATATTAAACCAAAAAAATATTTATAACACTACTGTGGATTCATTTATTATTAACGGCAAACTATATACATTTTTTTATAAAAATAAATCTGACTTTCAAGCAAATATTTTTCCTTTTAAAAATACTGAAATAATTCATATCTGTTACAATTATTCTGAGGGTTTCCTGTTTTCCTACTTGGTAATTCTGGTGCAACTGTCAATATGTCCGTCAAGTTAAACTGTCATTATATATGTCAGTCAAGTTTTAAATCATTATAAAGAATACAATTAAGGTTTGATGATACATCAACTTTTACTCTGTTTAAAATGAGTACTTTATCCTTAACTTTTATAGAAATAACTGTTGACACAGAAATATGTCCTACAGTACATAATGTTGACAATGCAAAGGTTGCAATAAAAATTTGCATCACTTTAACATGTAAACATTGCAAAACTTTCAAGGTACACAAACCATCATCAAGGGGGCAACGCCAAATAATCTCCACGAAGTTAGATGTATTAATGCTTATACAACTACATACCAAACATCAATGATTTACCATTAGTGATTCCCCTTAAACTGACCTCATGACAAACTTGAACAAATTGTTGACTATGCCGAAATCTGAAACAGCACGCCTAAGCATTATTAATCATACTTACAGTTATCAACATTGATCTGAGGAAGTTCTTTTGTTATCTTAATGGTGTTCATACTGTCTACTTTAACTGATTTACTTTTAGATGATCTGAAATAAAACATATTTTCACTTATAGAAGCCATGGACTTTCATTCAAGATCAAACTATCAATATAGTTTAGTTATATGACAACCAAATACATACTTGGCCTTAATCTTATTTGGATAGTCTCATTGGCAACTACTTATTATCATTTTACATAAACATAATTTGATCTGCAAGATTTTCTTATAAATATCATACTTTTTGTTAATATGGCTTTTTTTTTTACACTATAGGGTTCAGTGGCATAATCTTAACTGTAAATTATAATTAACTGTATTAAATACTGACATAAATCAATGAGTTTAGTAGTTCTGTCACAAATAAGATAACAGTTACAACAACTGACATGTTTGTGAAGTAATTTAATAAATTCCCATAAAAACATTTATGAAACCCTCAACACATACCTTTTAAATTATGTTCAGTAGCAACAACAAGTCTAGATGGAATTAAACGACTCAATTCTGGCGCCAAGTGATTTTTAAAATTTACAACCAGTCTTTTAAATTTAGTTAATAATATCATGTGATATGCATAACATAATAAATCACATCTAAATATCTATCCAAGAAAGGACATATTGCATTTCACTGCACAATGGTTCTGTGATTACCCTGAGCACTGATTTTATATTTAAATCCATTTAAATATGACTTGTGGATTGTTTAATCCAATTAAATTAATTTCAATATATCAAATACAAACAAAAACATATTTTGACTTTATCTTACATTTCAAGAATGAAAGAGCGATGAAAAAAAACAAACTTATTTATTCAGATTTCAACATAATCAAGGGAATCATGTGACAGCATAAAAACTGCCTTGAAACTGTATCTTACCTGAGGTCAGAGTTCACTTTCTCTAAAGAATGACACACCACCCTGACAGGAGATCTTTCAAAGCCCACCATAATATCTACCTCTGATTGGTTAGGATCTTTAGTCTGTCGTGAGGCATCAACCAACAAAACTTCTGATGGTAGTTGTTTGTGAACTCTTGTGTCCTTTGACTAAACAGACAGTATCAAATTACTCAAAAAATATGTGTAACATCTGCAATATTTATATTTCTTTTTAAATAAAATGTCATATTAATTTATTTTTTAAGAATTAATTAATTAACTGACACATATAGTTTTCATTTTATCAAATGCATAAATACAGTTTTATTTTGTAACCACCAAATGACATATGATTAAATCATAGATTACTGTAAAACTTTATATTGTAAATCAAGTTATTGTTGGTTTTGTTTGTGGTTTGGGCCTTAGACTTGGCAGTTTATTCTTCCCAGTATTCTATGTCACATGTCACAGCCTTTTTACCAATTTAAATGTACAATGAAAAGTTTGAGTATGGTAAATTTTGCTGTTAAATGCCATCTTCGAAAATAGCAAAATTAGCAAGAAAATTCACCAGTAAAGAGTATTAAATTGCATAAGAAACATAGGAACTATGCCAACAAAGTCTGCATTCTTCTAAAAATGCTGAAACTGAATTTGCATTATCAAAATATAATGAGCTGCTCTATTAAACATACTAGGTAAAATTATACACAATTTCATGGAAGTTTTCAAATTGACAGCAATCATTGCTCTGAAAGATTTCTTTTAAGTATCTTATAAATTAATACAGAAGAGAAATGATGTGCCTTCATGGCCTTTGAGGAGTGTCACATCTACAGTGAAAAAAGTTTTATTTTTACTGCAAACAATTGAAAATGAATTAAGTTTATTTCTACCTTGTAATGATCAGGTAAATCATCTTCACTGTCAGATAAATCAAGGGAATCAGCTTTGTCTTTTCTGTGTGGTGAATGCTTTTCTATAAGCCCTGGTGCTAGCCTAAAAAATATAACCATGGACATTAATAATATCTATTACATTCTTAGTCATATCAAACAAGATAATTTTATCTGTTTCACTATTTAAGTTAAATAACAAGATAATTCTATCAGTATGACTAAGTGAGGCCACACTTAAAAATATTTTGGTTTGCCAAAACCCTACCCATAGGTAGAGACAGAGGGTAGGTAGGTAGACATTTTCTTTTTTTTTGGCAGAGAGAATTAAAGTGTAAGATGTTTTTTAGTATTCATGCCTATCTGATTAAAAAAAACAAAAACTTTTTAACATCAGGACAATAAAAGATTTTGAGTAGGCAGCTATTTTCTGGGCAGGTAGGGTTAGGGCAAACAAACATATTCTTTTTTATAGCCTGATTAAACAAGACAATTTTATCTGTATGACTTAGTTATCATAACAAGATAATTTTATTGGTATGACTAAGTTATCATAACAAGATCATTTTGTCTGTATGACTAAGTGATCTAACAAGATAATTTTATTGGTATGACTAAGTTATCATAACAAGACAATTTTGTCTGTATGACTAAGTGACCTAACAAGATAATTTTATCTGTATGACTAAGTTATCATAACAAGATAATTTTATTGGTATGACTAAGTTATCATAACAAGATAATTTTATCTGTATGACCAAGTTATCTAACAATATAATTGTATCTGTATGACTAACAAATGACTAAGTTATATAATAGGAGCCATGTCCTACTTACTTTCTTGGATTTACTGCTGTATTATTCTTCTCTGACACAAAGCTCGTGTATGGACTCTGGGGTTTCTTAATGATGGAACTTTTTTCTGAAATATAAACAATTTACTTTAACATGTGTATTTCTTGTTTATGAAATACATGAGTACATATTGTTAAAGTATTGATTCCAAGGAAAAATCAAACCATCACTGATGTCATGATCAATCTAATCTAATCAGATCTAATCAAATAAGGCAGCATACACATTTATGTAAATTATTACAATTAATCATTTCTTTACAAATGTTTTATTCAAAGCACTTGTTGTAAGCTTTCTATTTAGAATTCAAAGAAATATACATCAGACTTGGTTTAAAAAGTCTCTCAAAACTGCAATCTAGCATTTAAATGAAGCACGACAGTTAAACTTGTAAATGTCAAGTGTTCAGAATTTGGATTAGATTTAATTTTCTCTTTTTGTATATCAAAAAAATAAATTTTGATATCAATAGAGTTTTTATAGAATTTTATAAAATTACTTTTAAAGTTTATCTATCCCGAAATATTTGGATTTCACAAAAAAAAAAATACATATAAAAACCTTATTGAAACTGTGCAAAGTTCATGGACTGTATCTTTTTGTCAAAAATAAACAAATTGCAAAAAAAACTCTCTTAGTTTATTTCTTCAAATCATATAGAGAAATATTCATATATTTTTTATTTACGTAGAATATAGGCAAATGTATCTAATTAAAATGGAATAAACTAGCTTCTTTTTGATTTCTTTTTTTTATTCAAGGGTAAAAGAAGTTGGTGGTCAACGATTTAAATGGTGTTTTATACTTACTGTAGATCACTTACATATCTCTTATTATTTGTATCTCATGAGTATTAATCTGGAGCCAAAAATATATCTATACAGTAAAATTTGTGTAATTAATATGTTTTTTGAGTTGCCATCATTTAACAAAGTATAGGAAAATCACTGAGTACAAGATTGTGGGTATATGACCTCTACAGCCTTTAGATGAGTAACATCTACCTTAAACTCCACTGACAAGATGTGCAGGCTTTGCTTTAGCAACATCTGTTCTCTCCAGCCTTAAGAAAAGCCACACTTACCTTCAACTCCACTGACAAGATGTGCAGGCTTTGTTTTAGCAGCATCTCCAGATAATAGACGTCCTTGTGATAATGGTTTTCTGTAAAATTAATATGTTACTTTGAAAAAAAAGGTTAATTCAGTAAAGCAATGATTCCTTTATTCTGATAAAAACTTCGAATTGCAAAGTTTAGGGGTTTTTTGCAAATTCCCTATACTTATTTTCAGTTATTATATCTAGCCTGGGTGTTGACCGTGAGTTTTCCCTGGGATCATTTTTCTTGTGCTAGAGACTTGATGTCCAGACTTGGATATTTAAACCTCGTCTGGGCAATATTTCTTTAGATTGAGAAAATTTTTTAACAATGGTAAGTTGTACTTTAAATTTATCTTTTTTTATCAGTTTCAATCATAGCTTTCAACATGATTGTCTTGTCTGGAAAAATTACCTGTTCAGGCGACAGGTAAACTATTTTGAACTGGACATCTACCAGTCTATTTGAAGTTTTTTTCTAAAATTTCACTGGTTTGGATCTAATAAATTTAAAGTAAAATGATTATGCCTATCAGAAATATGTATTAAAATATTAAAATATGATTTTATGATATTTAAACAGGCAGTATAAACTCAATTAAGCTTTGTAAATATATATGGATTTTACGTATCCATCTCTGGTCCATGTTATATCATTGTCAAGCAAGGCTTCCAAAACTGTCATATATTCATGTCCGGTAAAAGTCCGGCTGGGCAAAGCATGAAACGGTCATCCACTTTTTAGTTTTCAAGGCTTTCTTAAGACACGGTCATTTTAACATAATTCGCGATCATTTTGACCCAACCTTTTGCCTTTAACAGCCACACATTTCAGGTCATAAAAGTGACATGATCATTAAGTACTATCAAAACAACCCCTACTTTAATACCTTCTCATTTTAATCAAGGCTATTTAGTTGTCGAACAGCTGAAATTTACCTGTTCAGGTGACAGGTAAACTATTTTGAACCGGACATTGATCGGTCTATTCAAAGTTATTTTCTTACATTTCAGCGGTTTGCATCTAAATAATTTAGTCAAAAAGATTTAAATTATCAGAAATACGTTTACAAATATGATTTGATGAAAAAATTAAAAAGGTGAGAATGAAAAATCGTCATAACCACGTTGTTTGAACCAGAGACATGTCTCTGTTTGAACTAGTACACGTGTGCGCATGTGCGCAGGTGTGAAATTTAATTATGCATCCTAATTTCTTAAAAAAATGCTTAAATTGTCATTAATACCTTTATCTCACGTTTATTTCGAATATTTTCTTGAAGAAATAACGTAGAAAGAGCTACGTACACTCATTCATGCTTTGCAAACGTACACGGAATTTACGTATCCGTCTCTGGTCCATGTTTTACCATTGTCAAGATAACATCCGGTATAAGATTTTAACGAATGTATTGACGACATTATTTTGCACAAATAAAGAGTCTAAGGCAGATATAAGTACGCTGATGTTGCACACTTCGAATGATGCACTGCCAATTTAACAGTTTACGTCAGAACTTCGAATTTGAATCAAAGAAAGTTTAATATCGTTTTTTTTTTAATGTCAATCATTGGGATGGCCAACTCAGCAACTGAATACCGTAATTGCCTTTTGTTTATTTAGTCTTAAGGGATTAAAATCGGGATAATATATAAAATGTCCGGCTGGCTAAAAATAATTTTGGAAGCCCTGTTGTCAAGTCAACATTCGGTATTAGGAAAATGTGCTTTTTAAAAACAAAAGTAAAGTTTCTGACAGTGTGACTTTGAATAAATGAAAGAACCTTAGTGAGCGCGCTCACATACCCCACGTCCCCACATTGTCATTGGAGAAATAAAATAAGTGTAAGAAAAAAAAATTGTATCAGAAAAAAAATTGAATCATAATTTCCTGTCAATATGCACATCTACATAGTATGTCCTTATTATCTACACAGCTTCATGAAATTTTGTTGTGTGGTTTGAGAGGAGTTGCGATGACAAAAGGTTGCAGTAGTATATTGGGCAAATAAGTTCAAAGGAGCGTAACTCCTGGAAAAAACATTGAATCGTAATTTCCTGTCGATATGCACATCTACATAGTATGTCCTTATTATCTACACAGTTTCATGAAATTCTGTTGTGTGGTTTGAGAGGAGTTGCGATGACAAAAGGTTGCAGTAGTATATTGGGCAAATAAGTTCAAAGGGGCGTAACTCCTGGAAAAAAAATTGAATCGTAATTTCCTGTCGATATGCACATCTATGTAGTATGTCCTTATTATCTGAAAAGGTTTCATGAAATTCTGTTGTGTGGTTTGAGAGGAGTTGCGATGACAAAAGGTTGCAGTAGTATATTGGGCAAATAAGTTCAAAAGGGCGTAACTCCTGGAAAAAAAATTGAATCGTAATTTCCTGTCGATATGCACATCTACGTAGTATGTCCTTATTATCTGAAAAGGTTTCATGAAATTCTGTTGTGTGGTTTGAGAGGAGTTGTGATGACAAAAGGTTGCAGTAGTATATTGGGCAAATAAGTTCAAAAGGGCGTAACTCCTGGGAAAAAAATTGAATCGTAATTTCCTGTCGATATGGACATCTACGTAGTATGTCATTATCTGAAAAGATTTCATGAAATTCTGTTGTGTGGTTTGAGAGGAGTTGCGATGACAAACTGTTGCAGTAGTACATTAAAGTAAATAAGTTCAAAGGGGTGTAACTCCTAGAAAAAGAATTGAATCGTAATTTCCTGTCGATATGCACAACTACATAGTATGTCCTTATTATCTAAAAAGGTTTAATGAAATTCTGTTGTGTGGTTTCAGAGGAGTTGCGATGACAAGAAACAGGACTGACAGACTGACGGACAGACAGACGGACGGATGGGTCAAAAACATAATACCCTCCGCAACTTGTTGCGTGGGGTATAATAAAGAGTACAAGGACAAAAAAAATATATGCTTGTTTATGGTTACCTGACCAACCCTACTTTTGAGTGCCAACCCGAAGTCCTTCTATTCCCATCGTAAAGTGAATAAAATGCTCTGCTGGGGCGCAGCTTGATACGACCGCAGAGGTCGAACCCTGAACAGTTGTGGCAAGTATGGACACAACATTCAAGCTTGATACAGCACTGAAATTGGATTGTAATTAAATATTTGACACAGCATAGGTTTCTGACACAGAATGAATGTGGTCTAAGAACTTAAAAATTTTTAATTTACCTATTCAAACCATATCATTAATATTTGCTTTTATATATAAATCAGAAATAACCAATTTAAAATGGAAAATTTTAAAGAAAAAAAAGGAAAAAAAAAAACCCAAATTTTTTGAACCCCCTTATGATTCATCACCCCCAAACTCAATCCCAGCCTTCCCTTTGTGATATGGAACCTTGCAGTACAATTTCATAAAGATCCATACACTTACACACAAGTTATTGTACTGAAACTAGAAAAATGCTTGTTTTTTGCCCTTATATGGCCCCTAATTCCTAAAATTTTGAGGGAATTACCCCAAAAATCAATCCCAGCCTTCCCTTTGTGGTATGGTACCTTGCAGTACAATTTCAGAGAGATCCATACACTTGAACACAAGTTATTGTCTGGAAACTAGAAAAATGCTTATTTTTGGCCCCTTTTCGGTCCCTTATTCCTAAATGTTTTGGGCAATTACCCCCAAACTCAATTCCAGCATTCCCTTTGTGATATGGAACCTTGTAGTACAATTTCATAAAGATCCATACACTTACACACAAGTTATTGTCATAAAACTAGAAAAAAGCTTGTTTTTTGCCCCTTTTTGGCCCCTAATTCCTAAAATTTGGAGGCAGTTACCCCCAAAATCAATCCCAGCATTCTCTTTGTGATATGGAACCTTGTGGTACAATTTCAGAAAGATCCATACACTTACACACAAGTTATGTCTGGAAGTTACAATCAAAGCACTGTAAGCGCTGTAGGCAGTTAACCAAAAACCAAGGCAAACATAATTATGAAAACTGTGGCTATGTAGCTTCATTTTTTTTAAGATTTAAAAGAACAAACATTAAACATTCATATATTGTGCATTTATGTTCATTTAATGAATTAATTATTAAGGCAAATAATTCATATTTTATCAAGGTTTTCAAAAGCAACGCATATATCAAGTATATTTTTAATGGTCATGTGTCTGCAGTGGTACAAGTTCGAAATGATTGCAGTTGTTCTAGTTGATAGTTAACGTTGGTATTAGTTGACTGTTAGTAGTTCAAGTTGACTTAGTACGAGCTTGTAATAGTATGCATGGACTTGCTTCCCTGGAAAGAAAACTGAGTTTGTGTTCTACAGTGCAAAAGTTATGAGACACAAATCAGACAAATGTTTACTACTACGGGGATCAAAGGTGAGGTCTGACTAACCTGCCCATAGTAAATATAAATGACCCCCGCCTTCACCCCAAGTCCATGATGTCTAAGTTTGGAATAAAATGACAGGTGATTATAATAAAGTTGGTCAAACACTCTTGGGCTTGAAAGATATGTTTTCTTTAAAATGAGCCATATTAAAATGAAATTTTTTATAGAACCAGAAATTATTCAAAATATAATTACGGTAAATTCTTTAAACCTACTCATTTTTTGCATCAATAAAATTTTATAATTTATAAACAAGAAATAATTGTAACAGAATGCTGTTACGAAGTCTCCCAAACAAAGCTGCCATAATTATTCATTCCCATGGTCGCCTGACATTGGGCAAAGTCTAGTACACATTGATTAGGTCTAGTAAAGTGATATGCATATGTGATGCCTATGAGATTGACCTTGTATGTCATTCAAATCTGTTTGAAATGACGAACAGGAATGAATATGGTTTAGGAGTTGGTATCTCAAACTTTTACAAGTTCTTAAAACACACACAAGAGGGGATGGGGTGACCTTAGGGACTAACCCTATATTTCATTTGATTTTTTATGTTGTCCCATACATGAATATATATATATGGTTTAGGGGTGGGGATCTCGACCGTTATCAAGTTTTCAAACAGGAGGGGGTGGGGTGACCCCAGTGACTTCCCCTATAGTTCATTTGATTTGTTATAT